GTGAAGCAGCCTTTTTTTTTCGGTTTATAAACTGTTTTTGATCATGAAATTCTGCCTTTTCTCATCAAGTTTCATTATTTCTCTACCATGAATTTTCTTTGTTTTTTTCGTGAATATCTTACGAATGGTACCTCGGATCAAAAAATGATTTAGATTTTTAAAATCAGCATAAAAAATACATTAGATTATGTTATAAAAAATTGATTTGAGTTCAGGCAATTTTCCCTATTGAATTTGACATCCTCCTTATGGGAGCAAACAGAGCAACATTTATTTACCTGATTGTGGTGATTATGATGATAAAGATGTTGATAAATATGATGCATTTTTCATCATTGTCCATTTTCACGTTTATCTTCATCTTATCAACATATTTATCGTCATAATCACCACAGTCAGATAAGTAAATTTTACTCTTTTGCTCACATAATTTCACTCTTAAACAATACACCCTTTATAAAGAGGGCAGAATAAGGCAATGATAATCACTTTTAGTTTTGAATTTGTTCACAATGGAGTTCATCAAAACAAAAAGAGGTGGAAAAAATCTTATTTTTGATAATTTTATACTGATAGTTATATCAATAACGCTATTCCGTTAACTGAATACTTAGACCTTTGTACTGATATGATGGGGTTTGATTAACCCAAAAATTAAACTTTACTTCTTAACATTGACTCGTACTTAAAATTAAAAGAAAGAAAAAAGCTGAAGTTGAAGCTTTTGTTTACTCAAAGGATTAGTGTGGTGAACGGACAGGGAACCGATTATATAGCTAACATAGCTGTAGGCCAAGTCCAACAATACTTCATGTTTAAGCATCCAAACATGTCAACAGCAATAACTAATTTTGCGACAATTGCATCCTTTTCTGTGAAATAAAAAAGCATCTTGTTAGTCTAATGAAGTCAAGTTAATTTGATTGTTGATAGTTACCTTTCTCATAAAAAAGACTAATTTGAATACAATCGAGCTTTCACTTTTCCTCACTAGAGGTATCTCATGATAAGCGTATTTCAATGAATAAGATGATTTTTATCAACTGAATGCTAATTAGTATGTCTGATTGGTATACTTGATTAGCACTGTGTCTCGAAAACTGAAGGAAAAAGATGACAACTAAAATGGTAGCAGAAGAAGCAAAAAGTAAACCTTTTTTTTGCTGTAGAGCAGAAGATGAATGCAAAAGTTGAAACAAACAGCAGAAGAAAGGTTCACCAAGCTTTGTCTTCCATTTCATCTTTTTCTTACTTTCTCTTAAACATTTTCTGTACTCATCATGCTTTTCTTACACAGATTAGATCAACTAGGAAACTTCCAGGAAGCCAATTGTTCATCACCCATCCTCCATTCAGTAGCTGAAAAAAATCAGGAATCATAATTGCAAAGCAAACGTTTCTTCAGTTTTACCAACGGTAATTACAGTTATCACGCTTTCCAGTCAATAATAGACTCTGTTGGATGTCAAACTGTTCACCATCATTTATCACAATTATCCGCTCCTAGTCATCACTAAATTTAAACTTGATAATAAACAGAGTTCAATGTTGGTTCACTAATTTTAATAAATTACATTGTGTTACAATTAAAAAGTAAACAATTGTTGAGACTATTGACAAAAAAAGCGGGCAACTCTTCATTGTATCCACCCGGTAAGGGTAAACGTAAACGAGAACCCGTCAGCTCACTTTTTCATCTTCAAAGTCTCAGCTAGCTGGAATGAAATAAGATTGATCCATAACTGAGAGTAAAAAAAGTTTTTCGATTTAAAATGGGACTTTTCTAATGTCTGTGACAAATCAAATAAATGATGAACGCGAATGACCTTGAGAGCTTGAACTTGAAGCTAATCCATCCTGTGTTGAAACCTGACATCTGTAACATTGACCTTTTGTGAGGTATTGACAACGACAGGCTTATAATGAAAAGAGACCCATTTTATCTTTGGGGGAAAAAAAGTGGATCAAAATGGACTAAACTCAAATGATCTGTAGCTACAGACTAGGTTGGCAATAACAGTTTTAACTACAATTGTATTGAGAAACTTTGATTCGAGAAATGGGTTACAAAAAATAGTGTAATCAAAGTCGATTTAAGGTTTGAAAAA